CGGGGAGCTCTCTGAAAACCTCAGACTCGAATCCTCGACGTCTGGGATAGGACTGCCGTCCTACAGTTTTCTCTCGCGACGACGTGGAAGAGTTCCAGTCTATCGAAAATGAGGTGCTGGTGTTCGGGGAGCATGTCATCTCAGTAGAACCGATGGCGGGGGAGATGCCTGATCTCATGGACATCTCTCGTGGAGAAACTTATGGTGTCCTGGGCGAGGTCGCTCAGAATGTCGTAGGCATGACGGACCTTTGCTCCGGCATGGGTGGTGGGGGCTCTATCAGAGGTAGTTGGATTGCGCTGGTGGCTCTGGTAGAAATGATTCTCGTAGAAGCCATACCTCCGGCGGTGGCAGGGGGAGGCCTCCGGCGATGCTGGAAGCGATCCCTCGGCGCGTCTGTGGATGTTCGAGCTCACCGTGCCGACGTTCGAATAGCTCGCGTTCACAGTTTTGCGAGAGAGACTGTTGAGACTGCTGGCCGTGTGGGGCGAGATTGGCCAGGCCATCGACGATTGGAAGCAGGGCAGCTCCCAAGGTTCAGGCGAAGGAGGCAGAAATTGCATCCCATGTCTGTTGGACGAGGGTGGCGGGTTGGCGCGTTTGACGAGGAGGCATCCTTCTCCTTGGCTTTTTCTTTTGTCATGTTGAGAAGCTGAGAGGCGTGGCAGTGCCGGCGACGGTAAAGCCCCTCTATCGTGGGAAAAGTGGCGCCGTTCATTGTTGTTAAATGCTCGAGGCACGTGCGACGCGCTACTTCTGGGAAATTCATGCCGTCTGAAATAGCTAAGTGTTGCGCTGTGCCGCCATGATCTTCCCAAGGGCTGCACGTTGCACGTGCCTTGTGCATCGACGAACATTGCGCTACTTTTGAAACATGAAGGGGCTTTAGGCGGCGGGTGCCACTCGGTTTGAAGAAGGGTCTCGGCGCGGGAAGGAAAAGAAAAAAACTCGGACACCCTTCTGACATTTCCTCGCTCCTTCCACCACTCTCAGCCCGAGCATATATATATATATATATATATATATATATATATATATATATATATATATATTGTATATATAATACAAAACGCCAATGTCGAACCCCTGACTTTTTTCTTTCTTTCTCTGTTGTATCAAAATCGTCACTCGCGACATGTTTCACACTAAATGAATAAAGCCCCTTCATGTTTCAAAAGTAGCGCAAAGTGCGTGGATGCACGAGGCACGTGCAACGTGCATCCCTTGGGAAGGTCATGGCGGCACAGCGCAGCACTGAGCTAGATTTCAGACGCCATGTTCTTTCCAGAAGTGGCGCGCTGAACGTGCCTCGCGCGTTTCCACAACAATGAAGGCGCCACTTTTCCCAGGATACAGGGGCTTTAGGGCCCGCTTGCTCGAAGCGCTAACCGCGGCTAAAGTTAGCCGCAGTACCTAGGAGAGGGACTCTGAGATCATGTGACAGGGATCGGTAGGGATGCGGGAAAACATGGCGGTGCCCCGCAAAGTGAGCGCCGCTCGCTTCGGAACTAATATGTCGTTGTAGCTGCAATATCGCGCGCGTTAGTCAGTAACTAATGGTGCAGGAGGCTTTCGCTTTGCCTTACCTCACTTAAATCGCAAAGCATGAACAATTACCTCGCCGCATTTTTTAGATAGTATTTCGATTCTGGCCATTCTTAAGCCTAAATGAACACGATAATTGTCGGCATGCATGGAAACGTCTTTGGAAAGTGGATTGCCTTGACTCAATCGGCCTTGTATTGATAGCACACAAATTTCCCAAGCACCGACGTGCATGCTACGAGTGTAGTTGCAGGCATTGCGCGTGCTGGCGTATGCAGTAGTAATATACCCGTTGCTCTGGGCAGGGGGCACGAGCGCGTCCGGAAGACTTACGCAAGACGCGACCAAGTTTTGCTGGCTGCATCATCCGTGTGGCGCTGTAACGTTCGATTTTGCACGTGCCACGTTCGAACACAAGCCGCTGTCAGCATCTGTAGATGTGCGGTAACAAAACGTCTAAAAAAAGTTTAAAAAAAAGAACAGAATTATGCTGCTTGCGGCCGCAGCGTTCCATTAAACATTCCTTTCATATTTGCTTTCTTTCACAGCTTCCGCGAGCACGTATATTTCACTTTACGTGATAGTGAAGCCGAAGCTACTCGGAAAAGCGCGTCATCCTGAACGATGCTCGCACTGGACGAGCGCGCGTGCTTGGCAGGGACGCGGAAAACTCGCAGCTCGCTCTTGTAGCCTCTGCTACGCTGGAACTTAGAATGGAACTAAGTAGAAAAAACTCTAGTGGGGAAGCGTATTGATGCATGTTCGAAACGCGAACCAAATATTCTATTTTGCTCGCCTGCAGCGCTGCTCAAAACTTGTGAGCTACGGGCCTATCGTTCTAAAGGAAAAAGTCTAAAACAAATTTTGCCTTGCACGCGCGTTCGTCCAAGTCTTATAATGATTATTTACTTCGAATCTTTTATAAGAGGAAGGACAGCGGGCGCGGACCATAGAATTACACTTCCAGCGTTCTTCTCGATGCTTGGGTAATTTAGAAAAAGGTCTGTCGGGGCGGGACGCTGGTCTTCTTTTGTGTACTATTAATATCCGGTCGATTGAGTCAAGGCAATCCGCTTTCCAAAGACGTTGCCATGCCGACACTTATCGCGTTCATTTAGGCTTAGAAAGGCCAGAATCGAAAGACTATGCAACAAATGCCGCGAAGTCATTGCTCGTGCTTTGCGATTTAAGCGAGGTAAGGCAAAGCGAAAGCCTCCTGCGCCATTCGTTGCTGACTAACACGCCCGATAGTGCAGCTACAACGACATATTAGTTACAAAGCGAGCGGCGCTCACGCACCGGGGCGCCGCCATGCTTCCCGGCATCCCAGCCCCCAGTCACGTGATTTCAAACTCCTTCTCCTAGGTACTGCTGCTAACTTTAGCCGCGGTTAGCGCTTCGAGCAAACGGGCCCAGGTTTTCTTTTCCACCAGCTCTGCATGATGGACAATTTACCTCGTTTCTTTATACTGGCTACTGCATGTCAGGAACATCGGTGGTTTTGATAGAACCGAGTTGGATGGACATCTGAGAATTCGAACTTATTAGTTAATACACTGAAAGCGACACGTACTGAATACATGTAGCGATGTAGGAGTGTGGCAGATTTAGAAATATAGAATTTTTTTAATTATAAGCTCGACCAGTAATTCAATCTGAGTATTCTTAATCCTAAAGTCAGATTGAATGGAAATATGTAACCAGATGCACCACTCGCTGACAGTAACTCTGTCAAATGGCCACAACAATTTAAGATCCCTCCTCCAGGTCATACTTCAGAAAAACTAATAGTTTATTTTTCGGTTAATATTGGTTAAAACCGGTTACCGGTGAATAATTTACGGTTCCGGTTACGGTTACGGTTTTTATAAATATCAAATAACGGTTTCGTTACGGTTACAGAAAAAATTTCGTTCCTAAACGGTTTTCGGTTTCGGTTACGGTTACGGTTTGAGTCCCTGGTCCCTTTAACTTGTGCTGACTGACGAGCGAGCATGGCTGCAAGCTAGGCGCTTCAGCAATCAGGCGCCGCCATATATCGGCGGAGCTCCGATAAACGCGACTCAAGACCGATGGCCTTCTCAGCGTTTGTGTCTTTTTATTCCTAAAATGACACAGGTAACCGTACTGAGCTGTGGATAATAAAATGATGTCAAAACACCAAGCTCTAATTGGCTGATGGAAAAAAAGAGTAGTGGCTAGACCCCAAGACATATAGCATTAACGTATACCCAGCCTCCTTTCAATCAAAGTCAATGAAAGTTCGGCGCCGTTCCGACGTCGCCGCAACTCCTGCGCTAAAAGCAGACGACTTGCTGTGCGCTCCGCACTGGTCGCTGGTCGCTGGTTCCCTGGTTCAAGCTGTCAAATATATATACCGCACTGGTCGTTTATATATAAACATCGGCATTGTCTGAAAGGGCGTTCGACATCTAACTGGTGTTACAAAAGTTCTGTCCGTAGGTCGCTCAATTCTGGCATTAGTACTAGTAGCACAGCTTGCAATCGTGTAATGATTACTGCCTGATACACGTTTAAAATTTCCCGTTAGATTTCGTGCTTCTCTGGTCGTGTCTATCCACAGCTGATGGTGATGTCACCTCACTTAAAAATCACGCTGCTTAGGTGTCCACGCACCCAATTTCACAACTGAATCTTCATTTTCATCCTAATTTAATTGAGTTATTTAATAAACAGAAAACACTAAAGTACGACTAGCAGTATGGCGTGTTCTGATACTAGGGAAATAGAGACGTAAACACATTGTCGTAAAACACCGAAATATGTCTTCTGACGAAAAGTAGATCTCTATCTTGTAAATACTGTACAGTTTATTACGGGGTCACATTTAATTAGTAAACACAGAAGCCCTTCGTTTTTATAGGCAAATAAAGCGAACAATACTCTATTTAATATATATGATTTTAGACTGCGTAAACACAGTTCTCGATTTTTTTTTCCGCCAGTATGCCAATTTCAAACAAGACCGCACCAATGGCAGACATTCACGTGGTCAGGGCTAGAAAGAGCGCTTAAAAAAGAAAACAAAAACAAACTGCGTTCGGGTTCCGAGTGAGTTGCTGAGTTGCGCACTTGTTCACGCAGTTAAATAATTATTAACAGAAATATGTGTATTTGCTCGCTTTCAAGCATACCCAGTGTATGCACATTTAATATATTTGCGATAGAAGCTAATAAAATGGTCAGCGGGAAAGTGTGTAATCGGAAACAGTTAAGGGTTACTACACATAGTACATATGGAGCAGTTTTCGAGTAATTCAATGATAATAAAAAAAAATATCGAGTATTGTGTTGGGTGCGCGAAGAGTAACTAATTAGTGGCCTGCATCGTTCCACACGTAGAATGCAATTTGTTTTCCAGGAGCTGTCACAGTTCAAGAGCAAGAAAACAAAAAGCAGAGGGAAGAATTGAAAAAAAAGAGCAGTACACATACCTGGCTTCCAGCCCATGGCCCGGTAGTGTCAGAATGAGCAGAAAGAAGCCGAACGCAGCCAGAAAATCAAGGGCAGTTCCGGCACTCCGCATGACTCCTCAGCTTCTCCGAAGGCGCAGCATGAAGGCGCAGCGACGAAGCGAATCCCCGACGGAGAAGAAACAACTGGCGTCGAGCACGTTGTCGTCGCCGCCGAACACTTGAACGTTGACGGGCCTGAACCCCGGGGAGCGCACGCTGCTCGAACTGCGGCCGACGTGGCTGTGCGGCGCCGACGCCGGCTTGTCTCGACTACGGCCAGCCGTGCCGCGCGGCCCGTGTGCCGGGACTCGAGGCGCGAGAGAGGAGGAGGAGGCAGGAAGGGGAGAGGAGGTGTGCACGTGACCGCAGTCTCCGGTTCATGAGTTCTGTCCCTCTCGCATTGTTTGGGGGGAAAACAAGACGGGCACTCGTGGGGCAATAAACAAGAAGGTTCCTTAGAATCTCTCTCCTGTTGTTCTTTATTTAGCATCGTGCAGAGAGGAGCACAAACTCCTCTAAATATTTGTTTTGTTGTTTATTGATTTTATTTTTAAATTCGCGTCTCATTTCTGATTGCGTCGAGGAACCCGTTACAATGTTTCCTAACTTATTGAAAACTGTTAATAAGAATAATTACTTTTATTTGGGGGGGGGGGGGGGGGGAGAGAGTTTCACACTCTAAAGAAAATCCCCTGCGTCTACTTTCACGCACAACGCGCGGAGAGCCAATCACCGTAACTTACGGAGGCAGCTCAGCGAATGACGATGCCGGAACATATGTTTAGACCAAAAAACGCAGCCTGAGTTTTGACATTAGGCAATGTAAGCGTGACATTTTGCATTGCTTAATGTCGGAACTCCGACTGCGTTTTTTGGTCTAAACGTATGTTTCGGTCATTCTCTGAGCTGCCTCCGTAAGTTGCGGTGATCGCCTCTCCGAGTGATGTTTTGGAAAGTAGACGTACAAACCGTTCTTGAGTGCAAGTGGTTTGCGAGACGCATTATACCACTATACATGCGAGACGGATTATACTTTATATATGAGCTTTCTTCCATAACAATTGAGGTGTTTCATCGGGTGTTTAGACATTCAGTATGCACACCTTTCAGGACCTTATATTTTAACTTGTTCAACGTTTTATATACGTCGAGACGCGCAAATATTCATTAGGTTACTACGCCTGCTAGTCGTTTGCTCGCAATGTATAGAATCACTTGTATAAATGACGCATTGCGCTATGGTATCTTATTCTTCATACGAATCTGTGGCCTGGAAACTGCTGATTATCTGCAATTGGAAGCGAACATCGAATTACATTTATCACCGTGGTAAATGAACCGATCCTGAGTAGGACGTTTCTTTTTTGTTTCTTTTTGCTTTCGTTTGAGTTTCCTTAATTTGTTCAAAAATAATTGAGTAGGAGCGATTTGGCGTCTTCTGGAGACGATACGCCAAAACAAATATTTACAAAGAGCAACCGTCCTAAAGCAGCTCTTTAGAAAATTAGTTTTCATACTACTCGCGTGGTACTACGTGTTGCTTGCAAGTTACAGTACAATCGGAATACCATACATAAGTGGAAAATGAGCGCGTTCGCTGCAATTAGGCGTTATCGAAAGTATAAACCCAAGAACGAAAAAAAAGACACATCCATGCTGTTTTGTTGTTTTGTCCGTCCTTGCGTTTATTATGCTTTCAGTAACGTCTAGCAGAAACAAGACACGGACAAATGCAATCTCAGCGAAGCCGAACCGGCGAGACGTGCTGTCGAATTGTAAAAATACTTACTGTCAATTTTTGTGTAAGCGAAAGGGTATGTCACATAACCAATTCAACATCCTCATTAAAGTGCTATGGCATGTTTTCGTAAAAATTTCGAAAGAACAAGTTACAAAAATAAAGAAAACCGGAACCCCTGTTTTTTACCACTATATACGTTGTTTTAATATATTTGCCCAAAGTGTAAGAGCATAAAAAAGGAAGCCATTTATTTAAGCATAGTTTAAACCTTTGAACAATTTACAGGTCCATGAACATAATTTTTCACTTAATAAAATAAGTAGAGCGCTCTGATAGCTTCGAATTTAAATTGTGATATAAACAAGTAAAGCTCTAAGAAACTAACTTGGTTCAACATTGCAAGCTGCTTGAACAAAACATTACCAGGAAAGTTACTAAAGATGTGAAAAACCCTGAGTTAAACGATGCGGTTTCAGCCGACGGCGCAGGATTCGCTTTTGACAGGCGCACTTTGCTTGGCCTGAGGGAATCAATGACCCTTTGTTCTATTCTCGGCATAAAAGTGAAATGGCTAGGCCCGACGCGGGCATCGCAAAGCCGCATAAACTGCTTTAGCAAGTAGAATTTTAATAATGTGGGAGACCGTACATATAAATTCTTATATGGTATGTTCCGCAACAACTGAAATAAGTTTAAAAAAAAAAGAAAAAAAAACCGCTCAAACTAAAAAAAAAAAAAAAAAAAAAAAAAAAAAAAACGGTTTTACCAGAATAACGTCATCGACCGCGGCGAACGCCAGGCTACGGATGAAAAGCGATAATTAGAAAATTAATTAGATTAAATTCTCCAATGAACTTTTGAAATGATCGTTTTAGCAGGAGCATTTAATTAGGGATGTGTTGTCTATTGCTAGCATTTCCCACAGTTGTATTGAGAATTCAGTGAACGTAGTTACGCTACGCTGTCTCCAAGATACATAGCAATCCAACAGTAAGTCAAGCATAGTGTATGAATAGTGACTCATTATTCTGGTAAAGACTTTGAAATTCGTGACTTTTACTCGTGCCGCTTTAACTTTGTTAGTCGCGACGTTCCTACGCATTTGTATTAACTCTAAGATTACCATGGTCTAAGTTTATCTTCGTGAAACGTATTACTCAAAAAGTATTAATTTTTCCAGTATTGGGAAAAATCACGTTTAATCCGACATTTTTATAAAACATGCTCTCCGTTCAAATTTAGGCAATCTGGACAAAAAACCTTTCGGCTCATATTTCACGGGCTTACCTGCTCGTTGCTTACGTCCGGTGCATTTTATTATAGGAAGTACGTCTCCGACGTCAAACTAGAAAGGTGCAAACGCTGAAAACTTTAAAGGACGCCTTTTTTTAATATTTTATTTCGCGCCAACGTTAATAAGAACAACGCGCAGTGAATTGGCCCGGTGTACTGGGCCAGTAAGCATATTTATTTTGTTTGGGCTCACAAATGGCGTATGTAGAGATGAAAATGTTATCGACTCGAGTCCCAGGATGTGCCTCGTACCAATACAGTTGACAACACGTTACAGACCCCGAGAGCTTAACGACCGCATGGAGTGTAGATTTCCCTGCATCTCTTTATCGTTCCACAGTCAATGACACTACGGCATTGGACGATAAGGACGTCCAAGAGCCAATCACGAAACTAAAAGCATGAACATATCAGAACCCACGCTCTGCGTTCCCTAAGCTATCGGTTACTCATATAGTACGCGTGATCTCTTGCTTGAATAGACCTTTGAATCCAGCTAGTACATAATGTTTTTTATTAGTAATGCAAATCGAAGTTTGGGGAGGGTCTGTCTCGTGAAAACGTCATGTAATAAAAGCTTCACACGAAGTGCTATGCCAGGCTTGTTTCTACTGGACGTCCTGGGTTTTGACAACCCGCGTTCACCAGCTCCCCGCGAATGTAACTGTTGCAGCAACGGGGATGCGACGTCGAGGTATTCCTGATAAAGAGATGCGAGCTTTTTATTTTTACACTTTATCTAGGGCGGGTCCAAGTTTGGTGACTCGAAGGCCTCACTGTGCACTGGTAGAGGTTACGGAGGCTGCATGCATTCAAGTTCTAATGCTTTGATGTTTTCCTTCGAGCACTTTTGAGGCTCGAAGAAGTAGCTTTATTATTCGAAACGTGGCTAGTTACGGGTATTTTGGAGGGTGGATCCAATTGATTTGAATAAAACAAGAAGTGTAATAAATAAAGAAATAAAAGACAGAGAAAAAGCGAGATAGAGAGAGAGAGAGAAAGAGAGAGTGAAAAGTTGTAATTTGTGTTCCTTCAAAATTTGTCTCAGCTGGCTGGCAGACAAGCGGCCAGGAACTACTACTAGAAACGCATAAAATAATGTTCAGGTATTTTTGGACTTCGTCATAAAACGCCTTATATGCTGTCAGTAGCTCCTCCATGCGTGACGTTCTGAGACTCATTTGGAGCACCGATATTCACTCCTCGCTACTGCGTTACTTGGAAATCAGCTTTCTCTGAATGCCAAATAATTACGAGGTGTATGCCAATAAAAGCGCCAGAGCGATGCACTTCACTGGAATATGTTCCGGCGGTGCGCTAGCGCGCCCCTCGCTCCGACGTTGGTTTTGGCTCACTGGGTACGTATATTTCACCGCCTGTCCAGTCATGATGAGTTAAAGACACATTTCCTGGGTGGTGCATGCAGCCCTCGGGACGACGTTCCTTTATCGAGTTGGTAACGGTTCTGCAGTTGGGCAGTTGGTGTTTCAATGCTGCCTACGCCAGCAGGTGAACATGCGCTTGAACGTTGCAAAGCAAGGCCCACCCTTCACGGCTTACGGAGGAAGAGAGAGAGAGAGAGAGAGAGAAGAAGAGGAGGGAAACGATGCTTAGGTAAACATGCCTTAGTGCTTTGCGAAATAAGCTTTAGCCGGTTGCCAGATTTGCTTACGCATATCGGGTAAGCGTATCTGGGGGCTGGCTAAAGAGTATCGCGTGAATCACTGAGGCGTGTTTACCTAAGCTTCGGCTTCCTTCTCCCCCTCTCTCTCTTTCCATAACGCAGGCAATGGGACGTCTATGAAAATGTGCCAATAAAAGGGCCTAATTTGGCCCGTTGACTTCGCAAGTTTTTTCCGAGTACGTGTCGGGTAAATTAATCCCTTATTGCCGATCAGCAAAACACCACGTTGCGGTATCTGTTGCTTAGAGTCAGCAAACGGCGTAATTTTGTAACACAAAAACAACCACGTGTCTACTTCGGCAGATATTCCCAGCATATATCCGTGCAAAAAATCCACCAAACGTACTCCGAGACAGAGCTCTCGAGACATTCTCTTTGTGCCCTAGAGCGTTAGCGAAAGGAAAAACGCGGTCTCGCATGATTCGTGAACATACGCTTGCGTTCTCTTTTACTGCGCAATTCGAGAATGACGCCCAAGCTGCCTGACATGATCTACGGCGTACCATTAACCAGACCGCTCCGCGATAACCTCTGCTTCATAATTTGGGTGGATTGCGCATCTCGTTTTCCGCGTTGGAAGCGAGGTAGCTGC